GAACAAGCTTTTGGTTACTTTTCACTGTTGAGAGTATCTTATTGCTCTAAAACACAGAACTAAGGCTATATGTTATCCCAGGTACTTCTCAATGTAGGCCTCATCTTTCTAGAACCAAATTGAGCCAAACTCTAAAAGGAGGAGAGCTTTTAGAGCCAGATGGCATGTAGGTGACTTCAGTTTTCCTTTATGTAAAATGGGGATAATAGTACAAACCCAGTAATTGTTAATAGTATCAAGTGTTTACCATGTGCCTTGCACCTTGTTAAAGTCTTTATATATATTTTCTCATTGCAATTTTGGGACAAGTTTATAAGCTAAAGTCACTGTTAGGACTTTCATTTTACAGTGGAGTCTCAAGGAAGGTAAGTTTTCATAGCTACTGACTCTGTAGGTAGCTGACTCCTGAAAAAAAAAATCTGATTCTAACCTTAAAGTCTACAGTTTTACAGATGTGTTATCAGGAGGAAGCGGCCTTGGTAACACCAGCGTTAAAGTGCTTGACTTTTAACCAATAATCTCGGCAGTTTGAACTCCCCCAGCTGCTCTGGGGGAGAATGATGTGGTGGTCTGCTTCAAGAAAGATGTATAGGCTTGAAGACGTTGGGACAGTTATATCCTGTCCTGCGGGGTTGGCAGGGGCTTGTGAAGAAGGAAGTGATGTCTATACAAATTATTGTCACTGATTTCCACTAAGTCCATGATGACTATTATAGAGCAGAATTGCTCTTTGGGTTTCTCTTAGCTGTAATCTTTACAGATGCAGGCCACCAGGCCTTTTCTTCTTCCTCACCTTTGGGGAGATGTGAACCACCAACCTTAAAGTTAGCAGTAGAGTGCAAACTGTTTTCACCACCTGGAGACCTTGTATGTACAAACAGAGTACACAACAGGCTGGCACATGGTGGCAGCTGCTGTTATATTAATGAGCATAAAGTCATCTATACATTACCTTCTACCATGTTAAGATTACCCTTTACCAAGTCTCAGGGACAGAAAGATGAGAAGCTGTGTGAAATGTGCTCACAAACCACGTGGTTCCTTCTTCTTCTGGGCAGGTAACCCTGTGCGGAAAGCCAGGTACCAGTGGGTTCGCTGTAATCCAGACAGTAATTCAGCCAATTGCATTGAAGAAAAAGGACCAGTGTTCAATCTCGATGCTGACGAAGCCAACAGGATTCTCCCTCCGAAGACGAACTCTTTTCTGTGAGTGCATGTTCTCTGATTAGAAGGTGACCCTGACTTCACAGCTTCTGAGATCTGACATGTTGGTGGAAGGATTGTTTAAAATGCTTCCTTCAAATTCCTGCCTTCTTTGTTTGGTTTTTTACTAAAAAAACAGAAATGCATTGCTGTCAAGTTGCAACCAAACTCATAGCTGACTCTCCAGTGAGTTTTCAGGGACTGTAAATTGGACACAAGAGGAGATTTCCCATCTTTCTCCCGCAGAGCAGCTGGTGGATTCAAACCGCCTGCCTTTGGGTTGGCAGTGCAACTCCTTACCCACTAGGTCACCGGAGCTTTAACCTACAAAGCTTAAAATGTATTTTAGCATTCCTGTGCCTGGTTTTTTTTTCTCACTACACGTTCATAGTCTTGAGTTTCAACCTTTTCTACTTTGCTTATCCTTCTGTCCCATGGGCAGGGTCCTCACTTTTGTGCTGATCCTGGGCTTGCTTGCCTTCAGACCCATTCTTGTCCTTCTCCAGCCCTGCCCAGGGTCAGTGTTAAGCTAATAAAAGGCCTGGAAAGGTGACTGCAGAACATGGGAAGAAGGGAGAGACCAGGGTATTTCCTGTCACCTTCTGTCTTGTTGGCGTCTCTGGTGGGGCTGTCTTGTCTACGCATTGGGCTATCTTACCATCCCGTTTGGCTTCAATTATCTTCTATCACATCTATAGCTTATATTTTTAAGTATAGTTCCTTGCATATTAAGTATTCAAAGAGATTTTCTGGTTAGTGCACCACTTGAATGTCCATCACTTACTCATGCTGAGGACCCTATTTCCACATAGCTTCTCCAGGACTTCTCTTCTGGAGTTAACTCCTCTAAACTCCGGGATCTTGTACTCATCAGCATGCAGACCACTTTCATGCAGTGTGCAGCATCCTCTACTTTCTTCCATGTTAGGGAACTCCAATGACGTGCTTGGTTATGTGTTGAGCTGCTAACTGAAAGATTAGTGGTTCGAATCCACCAGCAGCACTGAAGGAGAAAGATGAACAGCCCCTTCCCACAAAGATGTACAGCCTCAGAAACCCTGTAGAGGGTGCTGTGCATCACAATCTACTTGAAATTTAACTCTGCCACCTGTCATCCATTCCCCATACTGTTTTCCTCTTCACAGTAACTCTTTCTAAAAGGGTCCCCTGTACTTGGTGCCCCCATTCTCCTCTCCTCAACCACTTTCTATGGGACTTCTGTGATTTTTCTCGATACCCCTAGTTGGCATATCCACTGGTCACTTCTCTGTGTGTAGCTTACTTGATTTCTAAAGTCTTTACAAAAAAACAATTAACCATCTCCTTTGAAATATTTTCTTCTCTGGGCTTCTGGGTTTTTACCTAATTCTCTGGCTGTTCTTTCTCCTCAATCTGAACATAGTGTCATGATTTCATGCCCCTGGCTCTATTCTAGGCCCCTTCTTTACCTACATTTTGTTCCTAGTGACTTCATCACATTCGCTTTATATATTATAAAACACTATATTTATTTCTATATCTATATATGGTATGTGATAGGACATCATGCTTGGAAGAGTGGAGGGTCAGCTCAGAAGAGGAAGATCCTGGATGAGATGGATTGACACAATGACTGGGGTAATGGGGACAGGTGGGTCAGAGACAGTGAGACTGGCTCAGGAGAGGGCAAGATTCAGAGATACTATTCATAGGGTCGCTATGAGTTGCAGTAGACTTGATGGCACCTAACAACATATGTTCAAACTACATTTGAGCGCAGTGACAGTGTTCAAACTCTGATCTCTTTTCTTGACTCTGCCATCTAAAGTAACTATGTAGTCACCTTCTATCAAATTAAACTCGGGCTCATTGCTATCAAGTAAGAACTGTCTCTAGCTGATTTTCCAAGACTCTCACAGAGCAGCTGGTAAATTTGAACCACTGGCCTTTGGTTTGGCAGCACATTTACCTACTGATTAGTCCACCAGAGGTCTCTTAGACAAGTATAAAACTAAAATGGACTCATTGCCATTGAGTTGAATCTCTCTGATAGCTGACCCAGCATCAGATTTTTATGGACTATAAATCATATGGGAGAAGATGGTTCATCTTTCTCTCCTGAAGCTGCAGGTGGATTCAAAGCTCCTGCCTTTGGGTTGGCAGCACAGCTCCTTACCCATTAAGTCAGCAGAGCTCCCTAAACTAGATTATTATATTGTTGTTGTTGTGTACTGTAGAGTCGGAACTGACCCATAGCTGACCCTCCAGTGGGTTTTCAGAAACAGTTAATTGCAGGGGAGGAGGTTGCTCATCCTTCTCCTGCAGAGTGGCTGGTGGCCTCGAACTGCATGCCTTTGGGATTGCAGCACAGCTTCTTGCCACTAGGCCACCAGAGCTCCCTAGATAAATATAGGCAAACTTAAAAAAAAAATTGAGAAACTTCTACTCTTTTAATTTGATAAATCACTGCCAACGTTTGTTTCTGCATCTAAAAAGCTTTTGTTATGATTATCCTTCTTTGGCCTTGGAACATAACTGTGTTGCTTTGCTTTGTTTTGTCTTCCTGTCATACTTTAGAAATTTGCAGGATGTCTTCCCTCTTTCTGAGGACTTTTCTGGATCGGGCTCCGGTTCCGGCTCTGGATCAGGCTCCGGAAGTGGCTTCCTTACTGAAATCGACCAAGAATACCAACCAGTAGAGGAAAGCAATGATATCTACTACAACTTCCAGTCTCACGAAAGGAATCTGCTCTCCAACGGGCAGGACTTGAATGAAGAAGTATTAGAAGAAGATTTTCTTTTATAAAAGGGAAGTTTCCCACTTTGACACCAGGCAATGTGTCCTTGGTTTTTGTGTATCATTGTTAAATAACTAAACTTGGGACAGAGTTGTATGGAAATTTTTAAACATCTGAATCAGAAGCTTACATTTATATCTTCTTTTTGTCTCATAAATTTTTAAAAAGATACAATCTTATGCTTTAATGCTGTTATCTATCCTATTCTGGAAAATCACTGTATTTCTTTTCTATCATATTCATCCAACCTTAATGTGAAATCAGGAAGACTCCCATGTGTAAAAAATGATCTTAAATAATAAATTATACACACACAGAGACATATATATTAAAAATCAACTCCAATTTAAGGAAACAAAATAGGCCATATTATTTTGTTATCAGGAAGCTGACTATGATAGTGAAGGATGGATAGGACTCTTTCCTCATGAAAGGAACAAATAGAAAAAGATGCAACACCCAGTGAATGTACAGTGTGAGGGTTTGTACTGCTGTTGGATGTGTTTACGGAGTAGTGGACATGGCTTAGCTAAGTTATGATTGTGATGCCAGTTAGAAACTTAAAACCCAGTCAAAGCCCAGTGTGTCCTCAATACCTAATGCTGCTTAACCTTTTCTTGGTTTGTCCCCCACCCCCAGATACTTGTCTATTTCCAAATGTTCCTCTGTTAAAGCAGAAGAACAAACTAATGGTTAAACTGGCCAGTTTCTCTGTTCTACACTCAAGGAAGAATTAGTTGGGTTCAGATGTTTCTAGAAGTCATGCCAACCAAATGTTTTTCAGTTATTTTACAATGAGTATTGTTTTTTTTAACCCTAGAGTCAAACCATATTAACTTGTATGTGACGCTGTAGTCCTGTGTTAGCAACAAGGTTCTTGCCAGAGAATGACTCTGAGGATATTTGCTTTGTTCATTTCCATTCTGAAAAGCTCACCAGCACTGCCATTGTGGGTTCTGTTTTGCCAGTCCAGATCTACTTGTCAGAACGGAGGACATAAATTCAAATTACTCTGCTGATGAGAGCTGCCTTACCCAAATTCACACCACTTCTCAGGAAAGCCTGAGCCCATGATTGGTTGATGTGAGTATATAAAAACCTGGTTCCTCACCGAACTTGGACATTTCAGAATGGAACCACAGATTGAGAGCGCCCTGAGGGCTCATGTGAGGCTGGACTGCTTTGCAGCTTATTGTTATACACTATCAAGTCAGAACCAACTCATAGCTCACCCTCCAGTGGGCTTTCATAGGCAGTAAATCTCACAAGAGGTGACTGCCTATCGTTCTCCTGCAGAGCAGCTGGTCAATTTGAACTGTGTCCGAGTTCTGGCTTAGTGGGAGGAACATTGCAGTTTAGTCTCTCACTTTACTCCTTTTCTCTTCCCACCACCCTCATAGAGCTTATCCGAAGAGCCCTCCCTTTTGTGTACACTGGTCTCCATGTCAGACTTTGCTTCATGAAGAGTCCAACCTGTGAAAATTTATGCCAGGCAGCAGTGACTGTAACAAGGTTTTAAAATATCATTTGCTGCCTGGCTGGGGAAAAGGGCTTTATTCTAGGCATAAAATGGCATTGTCATTGTTCTACTTTCACTAGTGCTGATCTGGATTGGTATACAGTGGGATATATTGGGCATTTGAGAAACACAGGTTCAGAGTAACTCTAAAGACAAAAGAATTAAATGGATCTTGCTAGAGGCAATGCATACTTTTAAAAGAAACAATGATGGCCTCTCTACCAGAGTATGGGGGTGATGCTCAGCCTGTGAGGTTCTCTTGGCCCCTGGGTGTTGACAGGACTCCTGTGTGGTCCAGGGCATGCAGTTGTGCCTCTAACCACAGGGTAATGGGGACTCCTGGGAGGGTGCCTGGAGGGCTGCGTGCATTCTGGGACAAAGGCCTGTGGAGTGGGCTGGGTGTGGCTGTAGTGGAGACAGGTCTCTGTCAATAGTGTATATCATATCATGGCCTTTCTGTCGTGTATTTCCAAATGCAAAGACTATACAAATCAAACTGGTAGCTAATAAAGTTGTGGATCACTCACTGGAGAAGAAAAAAAAAAAGAAACAGTGAAAGACAATTCGAAGAATGGAAAATCAGAGAAAACTCAGGACCCCAACTAATTATAAAATAGCAGAATTCTAGGGAGCTCTGGTGGCCTAGTGGCAAGAAGCTGTGCTGCAATCCCAAAAGCGCATGGTTCGAATCCACCAGATTCTCCACTGAAGAAGGAGGGGCAAGCTCCTCCTGTGCCAGTTGGATCTGATTCGAGGGTACACAGCAAGAAAGGTTTAACTGAGACATCAACTTGGATATAAAATGCTGAGGCTGAGAAACCAGCTTCCAGAAGTCAGTACACATTCAAATCAATAACCTTTATATGGTGCTGTGAGCACACAGACCCACCCAAAAAATGAGGGATGGCAGTAGGAGAGAATTCACAAACCTTCAAACCTGCTGGAGGAATTTGTGTTTCCTGTTCCTACCACTGCATTTGGCAGATCTAGACATAGAAGAGCCCTAGGGGAAATGTCTCTCTTAGTGGATACACAGCAGGAAGTCTGTCGTACTTAAGCTGTTGTTCAGGCGTTTTCGTTTCCTTGTGTCAAGGGATGAGTCGAGAAGATGGTTTACCATCTTGGCAGGAGCGTGGACCTCAGCAGCAGCAGAAGGTAGGGCCTCTGCTATGCACTGTGGACAGGGAGGACTATGCTTGTTACCAGGTATCTATTAAGGCGTCTCTTAGCACTTCTTTAGCCAATTTTGAAGACAAATATACATTTGTATATGTATTTGTATATGGACTTAGCAGCCACAAATTGAGAAAGCATGTAACATGGGGCTCAAATTCTTCATGATTGATGACTTGGGTTTAACCATTCAACTAAGCAATCTAGACTCACAAAAGCAAAAGAAATCTAAATTTGATATCAGCTCCAGGGACAAGATTTGCAGTTAATCCCACTGATCTTGCTTGCTCCTGTAAGTTTTCCTCAGGAACAGGTTCCTGAAGGAATAGTTCCTAGAATGTATAAGAACCAAATGGATTTGAGTGACACAGGGGTAGACCGCTATGTACTGTGCTGTGTCATGCAGACTTCCCCTTCAGGATGGGAGAACTTCATCTTCCAACCTCTGGGAAGTTGGCTGAAAACTGCATGATCTTAAATCAAAAGTGCCACCTCGGGCGAGCTCTAGTGGCCTAGTTGCAAGAAGCTGCACTGCAATTCCAGAGGCACGTGGTTCAAATCCACCAGATGCTCTGCTGAAGAAGGAGGGACAATATCCTCCTGTACTAGTCAGATCCAATTTGATGGTACACACACAAAAAATAATTAAAATTTTTTTTAAAGTGCCACCTCATCAAAGGTCATGCTCCTTTCTCTGGACAGTTCAAAGCCAAAGACTCATCTATGCAGAGTTATTAAGGCTTAGACTTCATGCCCCTCTTTGGGCATAACCTTGAAGGGTCATCACAGCTTCAGAACTACTCATGATGTCATCTGAGACCATGTGATTACACTGCAATTCTGTTTTCCTCTATCTAATTCCTTTTGATTCTGCCCAAGTATTGTTTCTGAGACCAAAAAACTTGAAGTCATTAAGTTCTGCGTTATAGTAACCCTCCATCAGACTTGTTGTTAGGTGCCATCAAGTCAAGCATGACTCATATCAGCCCTACAAACAAAAGATCTAAACCCTGCTCTATCCTGTGCCATTCTCACACTTCCTGTCATACAAGAGCCCATTGCAGCAGTCACCATATCAATCCACCTGACTGAGGGTCTTCCTCTCCTTTGCCGACCCTTCACCCTTCCCAACATCATGTCCTTCTCCAAGGAATAGCACCTCCTAGCAACATGTCCAAAGAACATCATCATTATTGCCTCCAAAGAGCACTATGGCTGCATCTTCTCTAAGACATATCTGTTCTCTCGCCCATCCATGGGATGTTCAGTGCTCTCCTTCAACACCACAGCTCAAAAACATCAATATTTTTTTCATCCTTATTCATTGTCCAGGTCTTGAATGCATAGCTAATAATCAGAAAGACTATGGCATGAATCAGACCCAACTTAGTCCTCAAACTGACATCATTACTCCTCGATAATCTGTAAAGGTCCCTAATTGCAGATTTTCCCAGTGAAGTATGTCTCCTTATTTCCTGACCGTTCATACCAAGGGTGTTGTTAATCATGGATCCAAGCAAAACAAAGCTGTTGACAGTCTTAATCTCCTCTCCATGTTGTTGCCTACTGGTCCAGAGGTAAGAATCTTCATTTTCCTGTCATTGAGATGCAATCCATACCGAAGGTGGCATTCCTTAATCTGCAACAAGTGCTTCAATCCCTCCTCACTTTCAGCAAGCAAAGTTGTGTCATCTGCATAACACAGGTTATTGATGAGTCTCCCTCTAATACTGATGCCTCATAGAGTCCAGCTTCATTGGACGTTAGAGACTATAAATTGTCACAGGAAGTGACACCCATCTTTCTTCTTCAGAGTAGCTGGTGGATTTGAATCATCTACAACACAGCCTTTGAACAGGTATCACAACTCACCATGGACCTATACCATCAGAGCTCCCATAATCAATCCCATAATCAACTACTTTCTAATAGTTTTGATTTTCACAGAATCCAATTTACCACAATTATATTCATACTATTTCTTATGGTAATAGATTTTAAATGATACTCAGATCCTTTTTTTAATGGTTATTTAACATATCATAAACTTTTTATGTCCTAGTGGATATTATACTGTCACAAGACTTTTTTTTTTAATCCTATATTATACTCAAAACATTGCCACCAAGTTGGAACCAACTCATAGCTGACCCTCCAGAAGTTTTTCAGAGGCTCTAAATCTCTTGGGAGGGCACTGCTCTGCCCATCTTTCTCCCCAGAAGCTGCTAACAGAGTCAAACTGCCAGAGCAGCTCGCCTTTGGATTAACAGTGCAGCTCTCTAGGGACTCTCCCACCAGAACAGACGAAAGAAAACA